ACCCTATACATGCTATGATTGTTCTGTACCGCACACAGGTGTTGGTAATTTTAAATGTCAATTTGACTACACTGAGGGAGGCCTAGATGGTTGGTGCAGCATTACTTCTGGGTGAGTCTGGGAGGGACGGAGGGAGAAAGGGAGGGGAGAGGAAAGGAAGGAGAGAGGGAGGGAGGGAGAAGCTGAACACCACTGCTCTCCAGGCCCAGCCCTTCCACTACAAGCCATAGCTGAGCCTAAGACCACAAAGTGGTTTGTATCCTGCTGCAGCACTGCAAGGTATACATATCCCCCTAAGACGCAGCTCCTGGAGTTTAGTGCTCAGGATGCAATGTCTTTTTTAGGGCTTAGGAGTTCAGTACAGCTGAGGTCCAGCAGAGCCAAGCACTGGGGACAGAAGGAGTAGTGGCCAGCACAGTGCCATGGAAGTCCCCGGACTCCTATTAGTGATAGGAGGAGATATGAGGGTGGGCTTGCAGGAGGGGACTCTGGTTGATGATTCTAATGTAGCAATGGAGGCTAACTCAGTAGCCCAGCACTAAAAGTTGAGGTCCTTCAGCCTTAGGGCTGTGGAGTCTTAAGTCACAGGGAGTTCGTGGGTCCTTTTTATGTAGGCTCTTTTTATAAGCTATTCAGAGCAGGGGTGGGAGGGAGAAGTAGAGAGAGAAAAGTTCCCTTTGAATTCCCATTCCTTTCAAAGTCAGCAATTTAATGAGTCATGCATTCTAAATCCTTGCTTTGTCTACACATTTTCATTTCAAAATACTAAAAAACACTTTGTTTGGAACATGGGTTATTTTTAGCTCACATATCAATAGTGAATATCCATTTCTCCCCATAAGAGAAAAGCTTTCTCTGGACTAGCCTGCAGCAGCACCATCACAGAAAGGTTGTTTACTTAGCTGGACTTTGTTGAAGCTACCTGGGCATTGCTCTCTTCCCTGGAGACTATCTTCTTGGTGGCCTAGCGTCCCTGCCGACTATCCATAGTAAACTCCAGATCTGGTCCAAAGAGCCCCAGGTCCCATATGTGGACAAAAACGGAAGAACATTCTTTCAGTTCCCCAGGCCCAGGATCCAACACCTAGACAGTCTAGACACAAGTCAGCTCTTTGTTGCTTTGCACACTTGGATGACAGGGAGGAAAAGGATGGAGGCCCCCATCTGGAATGGTCTCCTCAAGATACATGGAGAGAAAACCTGACCACATCTCAGCAAAGACAGAACAGACATTCTGGGGAGTTCTGCAATTCTTTAGGCTGAAAGGTAGGAGGAGACTGAGCTAGGAGGATGGAGGTTGGGGGCATGGGTCCCACTCTCAGTTTCCTGCCCTCTATAGGAGCCCTCACTCCACATTGGTGCCCTGGCCAGCTTTATCTGCCCTGCTTCTTTTTGTTCCACCAGAGATGGTTCACCAGCTTGGGGTTACATGGTGCCATCTTGTAAAAGACTCCAATTTATAGGTTTAATAGAAAAGAACTTACCAGCCCTGAACAGATAGCCAACTGCCCTCTAGAATGGAATATAAAGCAATAGCTCCAGGAGTTGGAGTGAAGGGGACCAAGTTCGATGCTCAGCCTTGAAGAGTATCTGCAGTTAAAATGAGGGTACTATTACGGCTTGTATCTTTATGTCCCTCCAAAGCCTCATGCACACTTAAATTGGGATTTTCAGAGGTGGCTGGATCTAGGGTGTGTGACAATGGGATTAAGGATGTGATGCTGGAATTAATAGTGTGATGCTAGGATTGAGGGTTCCCCACCCACCCTGGGTGTGAGTGATACCTGCCCCAAGGCTGGGTAGCCTGGATAGACTAAAAGGAACAGAAAGAAGGCTGCTGTGGTCACTTGCTGCTTGCTACTTTGCAGCTTTGCTACCTTCTTCCTGCCATGAATTGTTTCTCATCTGCCATGCTCTGCCTTGGAGCCAGACGATTATGAGCTGAAACCTCTACAACCTGTGAGGTAAATCATTATTTCCCCCTCTAATTTTGAGTGTTGGGTATTTTGTCTCAGCAGCAAGAAAAAAGTAACTAAGACAGATACTGATCGGAAAAGAATGGGTTCCTGTAAATTGAGATGGAGATATCTGGGAGGAATCTGACAAGGTTGGGAACATTGAATCCTAAATTGTGATGAAATTATTTTGCCAGAGGAAGAGGTTTTCCAACTCTTAGTGGCAGGTAATACATCAGTTGAGACTGGCTACCAAATGGGCAGCTGCTCAACAGTGGTCATTTTTCACATGAACAGAAAATCCAGGGAGATGTAGCTTTCTGGGGTTTTCCACATTCTTTTAGACTACTCAGGTATGCTCCATGCATCCCTGGAGACCAGTTGCACTGCTGGCCTGGATTCTGTAAGACACCCTCCTCCCATCCCCACTGAAGTCTTTAACATGTTTCTATTTTCACTTTCATGAGCTGAACTGGACTTCTGCCATGTGGAACCAAAATGGTACCAAGAGGTGGGAAAGTGCTCTGGAGAAGGAAACAGGACATGTTGAAGAGACTCATCTCTCTTTATCTCCTGTCTACCCTTCCCACAGCATGCATGACCGTCAGGCCACTGTAACTGGTCAGCAGTGACAGCCGTGGAGAAGCCCTGGTGCTCTGCAGGCTAACTGCAACACAAGGCTGTGCCACATCTGAAGGAGGCTCAAACAGATAGCTGAAGGACGGGAGGCAAGGAATGGTGAGAAACTTTGCTGCTGAGAATGCAAGAATCTGATGGGCTGTCATGGTTTAATTCTAGAATGTCCCCCAAAAGGCTCAGTATGTTCGCAGGCTGAGATTTTGGAAGGTATCATGGGTGGATTAATCCACTGAAGAGTTTAGAGCTGAACATCCTGTGGGGAACTGGAGTCTAGACAGAGGAGGCAGGACCCCAGGGGCATGACCTGGATGGGTGCATCTCCCTCCCCAGCTCCTCCCTTCTCTCTGCTTCCTGGCCACCATGACGTGAGCAGTTTTCCTCCATCAGACCCTTCCACCCTGCCCTTCCTGCCTTGAAGCAGGAACCATACACTGAATCCTCTAAAAACCATAAACCAAAATAAACCTCTGGTTTTTAAGGCTGCAGGTGTTGGGAATTGTGTCTCAGTGACGGGAACATGACTATGACATGAGCTATGTTTGCTGTCCCCTCCACGTCCAAGTTCTTGGTGCTGAAACACTGACCACAGAACTTCCTCCCACCGCCCCCACTTCATTTGTTTTCTCTTTGACTGTCACTTTCTACCTGCTGCACAAAGAAATCTTTGAGGAATATGTGATCATGCCCCTCAAGAAAGGCATAATCAAAAATGTGCTAAGTGTGTGTGGTGTGGTGCAGGAGTACATGATGGAAACAAGCCAGGAGGCCTAGAGACCTTCAGTCCTGGGATTCAGGAAGTTAATGCTCACCACCAAAGGAGTAGCTGGTGTCTTCAGAGAAGCTGACTTATTGGGCCATGGCTGCCCCTCAGAGAGATGTTAAATTAATTTGCCTAATTTATGGCCAAAGAATTTCTAATGGGAAAAATGGGCAGATGTTTTCAGTGTGGGAGTATCTTTCTGATCCCACCAAAGACTTCTTTATCTGTTTTCTATGCAATATCTTCTTACTGATGAAGACACTGTCCTTTTGTCCTTTTCCTCTCTGCTATCAGCCACATTGCCTTTGCCACTGCCCCCATAGGACATGAGGAAATGTTTCTCTGCCCAGTCCTTCTCCTCCCCTCAGCATGCCCCCTCACCCAGCTGAAGTGGCCAGCGTGCTTTCATTTATCCCAGGATGGGGAAAGGCCAACCAAACCTTCACTCTTGGATTAGACATACCTCCCACTGGGGCTCCTTCCCTGGCCTGGGACAGGGGACCCTCTCCTAGGATGTCCCCTGACCCCTGGCCAATTTTTTCAAGTGGTATCAAATTCCAAGCCCACCCTTGTTTTCTTCACTTCCAGATTCATGTTGCCCTCTTCCAGAACTTTCCTCAGAGTTCTTGAGAAAGGCTCTCCCTGCAGGTCAGACCAAAGGCCTGTTCAGTTTCACTCTTGATTTCCCAAACAAGTTGTCCTAAAGAAGATTCTGGAGAAATTCTTATAGCATCCTGCACTTGAGTCCTGTAGTCCAGCCACCCACTCTTTGGGGGGGGTGCTGAAATTTAGAAGCTGTGGTCACCAGAAATATTTCCACTTCCTTTTTTTTTCCTTCCATACACCTAGCCCTAGACTCACTGACCCCACTATAAACACCATCAGCTGGTGACAGGGCAGGAGGTCCCATTGCAAACAGTCTTAGGGAGATGATTCCAGAACATGCCCATCTATGAGAATCACCACAGACCAATTTTTTTTATGCCAGCATCACACTGGACCAACATTTCCTCTTATCCCAACCCCATCTCTACTTGAAATTCCTCTTGAGTTTTTACAGCCATGGACGTCTCCATGGGGGAAAAGAGAGAGAGACAGCAAAATCAACAACCCAGAGAAGCCCGTGGCATGGTAAGCTTAAACCCCTCACACTGAGCCAACCTCTTCCCTTTACATGGAGAAGCAGGGTAGCCCAGGGGTTGACAGTAAAAGTTACAAACTCGGAGACTTGAGCAGGAATCCCGAGTTTGCTTCTGGGTGGTATGGGACAAATGCTCGATGTCTGTCTTACTTCTCTCCTGAGAAATTGGGGACGACAACATATTCACGGTGTTATGATGAGAATGATCCATGAAATGATCCACGAAAAGGTCCTGTTTCCATCCTGCTGCATGTTGTGCTCCGTCAATGACACCCATCCTTGTCTCTGACAAGCAGCCCTCTCCCGAGCATTTGGATGCTCATAGTCAGTTTGCAAACACAATCCCTTTACCCGCACATTCACGGCTAATCCGTCAGCTCCCCCGTGTGACAAAATCTCTGTGCTCATCCTCTGGGACTCCCTTCTCTGTGTCATTTCCACACATCCTCCTCTCTGCCCTGGACACCGAGTGACAAAGGTTCCCAGATCCCGCACCACCCCCTACCTGAGGGCTGCAAAACAACCTAGGTCCTGGGGTTTGGGGGGAGACTTGCCAGGTGGGAAAGTCGGGGGCCTGGCTTCTCGGCGGCGGCTCCTCTCCCCCTTCAGGGGCTCCTCCGTTCCCCTTTTTCTCATGGTCAGGCTTCCCCTCTCCAGGTTGCTCAGGCAGCCGCATCAGGGGTCCAGGGCAATGTTCTTGGAGAGATCTGGGAGCTCATCAAAGGAACGTCCGCGAACATTCAGCCTCTGCAAGGAGGAACAGAAACTTACTCGAAACAGCGCTGGGTGATTATTTACTCAAAGCCAGTTCCTAAATAATTCACACTGCCTGTCCACATCTACACGGGACAGTGGGAGAGACTCCACCCTGGCAGGAAAAACATAATTAGAGCTGTGACAGATGTTTAGTTATTAATAAGGCCTCAATGTCACCGGAGGGTGTCGCACAGCAGAGCAACACTGTGCCTTTGGAACCAACTTAATCTTCACAGGTACTTTTCCACTCACTGCCCCTCGGGCTTTGCTGGAGTCGAAGCAATACGGAGAGAGCTACAGCAGCTGCCAACTTGAAGAAAGCGCAGCACACTGCACCAGCAGAATTTGTTTCTTGCCATTGACATCAAGAGAGCCGCAGATGCAGAGCTGGAAATAGCTGCGGATGGGGAAGACTGTCGCCAAGGCCCCTGAGCCTGTGACACACTCATCACCCCAGGGCAAACCCAAGAAGCAACAGATGCTGAGCGGATGTGGGGAAACAGAAACCCTTCTCCACTGTCGGTGGGAGTGTAAACTAGTAGAACCGCTGTGGAAATCAGTGTGGAGAGTTCTCAAAAACCTAAAACTAGAAATTCCATTTGACCCAACTATACCTCTTCTGGGTACCTTCTAGAAAGAGTTACCCATGTTTATAGCAGCACAATCCTTAACAGCTAAATTTTGGAAGCAGCCTCATCCCTACCAACAGATGAATGGATAAAGAAATGTGGTGTCTACACACAAGGAAATATTACTCTGCCATGAAGAAGGTGCATGTGAGTCATCTGTAGGAAAATGGATGACCTTCAGGTCATAATACCACGTGAAAAAAAAAACAGACATGGGTTAAATATGTAACAGTTTCTCTTATGGAAGGAGCCCAAGATTAAATAATTTAAAGAGCAAGGTAAAAGCTAGATGATAGGAAACAGGGATGTAGACTTTTAAGACATGAGAAGGGGGATCCAGGGATGGGGGGAAATGGGAGACAGGGGAGAAGGGGTAGTAAAAAGGATAAGGATGTAATGTATTTATTATGCATCGCAAACACATACTAACAAAAATGTAATCAAACCCAGGGCAATGTCATCCCCGCTTCCTCAAGCAACACAAGGGACATCCCAGGACAGCATCCCATCCCCAGCTCCCATTCAGACCCCACTCGTGGAACCTCTGCATCCACATGATGTCACTGTGTGGTGATCTCTGCTCCCTCCCTGATGTCTGGTGTCTAGTTGTCTCTCATGACTCAGCCCAGCTGTCACCTTGTCTGAAATACCACCCTTGACTGGCCTCTCCTTTGAATGGAACAAGGCATCTCTCGTGTGCCTGCTCATGCTGCTGTCTGTCCCCAGTCTGTCCCCTCCCTCCCAATACTGCACTGAGAAAAACTCTACATGGAGGGTAATTCAGATGCCCACTGTTGGATGCCCATTTTTGGATCGGGTCTTTATATTTGGGGGGACTGATTGTTTTGAGTTCTTTATATATCCTTGATAATAGTCCTTTGTCTGAGGTACAGCTGGTAAATTTTTTTTCCCACATTGTAGATTGTCTCTTAGTTCTGCTAATGGTTTCTTTTGAAGTACAGAAGCTTTTTAGTAAGATGAGAAGGGATGTAGACTTTTAAGACATGAGAAGGGGGATCCAGGGATGGGGGGAAATGGGAGACAGGGGAGAAGGGGTAGTAAAAAGGATAAGGATGTAATGTATTTATTATGCATCGCAAACACATACTAACAAAAATGTAATCAAACCCAGGGCAATGTCATCCCCGCTTCCTCAAGCAACACAAGGGACATCCCAGGACAGCATCCCATCCCCAGCTCCCATTCAGACCCCACTCGTGGAACCTCTGCATCCACATGATGTCACTGTGTGGTGATCTCTGCTCCCTCCCTGATGTCTGGTGTCTAGTTGTCTCTCATGACTCAGCCCAGCTGTCACCTTGTCTGAAATACCACCCTTGACTGGCCTCTCCTTTGAATGGAACAAGGCATCTCTCGTGTGCCTGCTCATGCTGCTGTCTGTCCCCAGTCTGTCCCCTCCCTCCCAATACTGCACTGAGAAAAACTCTACATGGAGGGTAATTCAGATGCCCACTGTGGCACTTAAGCCCAAGTGCTCAATAAATATTGAACTTAATATTATTATATTGAAATCAATATTAATTCTCTTGGGTTCTATACTGAAGTTAAAAATAATAATGATGATGATAAAAGAAAGAATCCCTAGAGGTGCAAAGTTCAGAGAGTATAATGGAGAATGTAGATGAGACAAAAGGAGCCCAGGTTACCATGGACTGGGTCCTCATCTGAGCAAGCTGGGCCGTGGAAACCTCTGCACAGCACAGGGGACCATGGCCTCTCCCAGCCACAGGAAAGTGAGTTTCCACTTTCCACTGCCTGGAGCCCAGGGTTGCATCAGGGAAAGCATCCTCCTCCTACATTCCTTCCAGCCTCTGGATTCCAACAAGTATGTATGTCCATGCTGGGACCTAGTCCCTGTAGAAGCCAGCCACTAGGGGACGTAGGAAGCCTTGAAAGTGACCTTGGGAAGCTGAAGACTTGAAAAGCTGTGTATAGATGTTATGGCATTAACTTACTCTTGTAAACCTGTATATACAACACCCATGGATGTCAGCCCCATCCACATCCACTGAAACAGGTGCAGCCCAAAGTCCTGTGTGTAATATGAGTCCCTATTGGGATTCATGAAAGATAGCCATGTGCACCGGCTGAGTCCTGTGAAACTTCACCTTGACTAGAAAGCCCCAGGGCCCAGAGGGTCTGGGGAAGCTACTGTGGTCTGACCTGTAAAGTCTCTGGTTCTCTAAGGAGAACCAACACTAGAGGAAGGTTGTATCCCTTGTGATTGGGTGGAACTTGAAAGGGCTGGGACCACAGGGTCACCCCATAGACAGAAAGCATCTCAAAGCCACAGCAGTGTCTTTCCAAACAATGTATGACTACACACACACACACACACACACACACATGCCAAGTGCTCCCCCCATGCCACACCCACACAGCTGCACGCTCTGTTCCCCATCCCATGCACCACGCTTCCCCACACGGTGACTCACACCCACACGCGGCACCCCACACACACTGCACACACGTGTGTGCTTCTGTCTCCTCTCATCATCTCATAAGTTAAACAGGAGGAACAAGTTTCCTGTGTCATTACAGTAGAAAAATTTTTTAAAAGTGACATTTTATTTTCAGATATGCTTTTAGTTGCCATGGCGATCTCAGCACCATGAAAGTTGTGAGCGGTGGCAAATGCAGATTTCCAAAGAGAGTAATGAGCTCCCTGGGTGACAGCCTCATCCTTTGCAGGTCCCTGGGAACAGTGGACACTGGGACAGGGCACCGATGCCCTCTGATCTGCCTCGCCAGCCCCGGAATCAACCAGGTGCTCTCTGCAAGGGCACCTGTGCTCCCGGCACAGGGCTCAGAATGCAATCCACTTAATTACTTGGAACTTGCTCCAAGGAATGTGGCCCTGGAGGTGACAGCTGCCCGGAGCAGTTCTCCTGCCACTCAGCTGGCCTCTGGCACCCTTCACCGAGACCAGAGTGACTGTGCCAGAAATACACAGAGCCAGGAAGCCAAAACTAGAGTCAGCTCCTCCATCCAGATGCTGTCCCAACCACGGCTGCCTGAAGCAGGAATGGGGGAGGCCAGGCCGCCCCTCCCAAGCTGGGACCCACCACTGTGGCCAACTCCGGGGAGCCCAATGTTGGTATCTGCATCAGAGGTGGCCCTGCACCTCCCCTGGTCAACTAGAACCTTTACAAGATAAGAGCCTCCTGGCCAGGTGTGCTGGTGCATGCCTGTCACCCCTGAACTCTGGAAGGCTGAGGCAAGCAGGTTACAAATTCAAGCCCAGCCTGGGCAACTTAGCAAGTTAGCGAGACTGTCTCAAAAGGGGTGGAGGTGGGAGGCTGAGGTTGCAGCTCAATGCAAAGTCCCTGGGTTTAATCCCCAGTGCTGAAACAAAACACAAGAAGCTCCTGAGTCCCCCACCGCCTTATGTACCTGGGGCCCACAGTAAATTCTTGTGCAGGAAGTGGCTCTCTGTCTCCAAATTAACTGGTTACCATCCTTCCTGCCGAGCCTCCAGAGGGCTGTTGATTTCCTGTGTCCTCCAAGTCCATGTGCCAAATGCCTCTCTTTGCAGCTCAGCAGTCAGCCAGGAGCTGGGTTCTGAGCCCACATCTTGGTGCAGAGCTGTGGGCTGATTCCAGGCACACAGTAGGGTCCTCCTCGGTCTTCTGTTCTAATAGGTGCCTCACCCACTTCTTTCACCACCTAAAACGTCTCTTGAGCCCTAGCCGGAGTTTTAGGGCAGAAGCCAGTGGGAGTCTACATACAGAACAGTGCTACCTGGGGTCTGCCCTCCATGCACCCCGTCATTTCACCAGCCCATGATATTCTGAGATCCGCTTACAGGCTGTGCTGTCTTGAGCAACTTACTCACCTTCTTTGTGCCTCAGTACGCATCTGTAGAAGGGGCCTGGGTTTTATCGCAGCCCCTGTGACGTGTGTGAGACGTGCCTGACACAGAGCAAGTGCTATGCGTGCCGGCCAGCACTGTTCCTCCCTTGGAAATCTAGTAGGTGCTGTCCAGCAGGCAGATGCCCCACATGGCTGTGGCCCCTCTGTGACCATCTAAAGTCCCCGTTACTGCGAGAGAGCTGAAATCCCATTTATGTTTGGCACTGGGACTGCACCGCTGAATGCGTAAATGATTCATCTGCGTGGGGCCGATGGCTCAGGTTAGTTTCTGGGAGGCCTGAGACACCGTTTTCCAACCGACCCTGGGAGACCAAGTTCAGACATCCTCCAAGAAATGTCTCCTCTGTTCTGACGACGCCAGGCTTCAAGTGAGTCTTCTGTGTCCTGTTGTCCTGTGCAGTCTTTATGACTGCTGAGGGGCACATTACAATTTAAGTTTTTCTTTTTATTATTAGTGCCTGTTAATTT